TGTACTTAGACAAATTGACGCAAGGTAGGCTGGCAACTATAGTAGCCAGCATCTGAAGAGGACAACGAAGTAGATCTGTGTGCGCGTGCTCTGGGTTCGCGTTTCTGGCCCTTGGGTTGCGAAAGTAAACGCCCTATTTTGTACCTGCGTGCCTGTGTCTTTGTGACATTTTCTGGTGGAGGTGCTGGGTACGGTAGATGATACGGTCCCCTTAGAGCACCCCTGACGCAAGTCCATCGAGTAGCTCAGCCGAACTTACCCCTGTGCACGTACGTTCCAGCCGTCGTCTCCAGGGACTCGAGCCACAGCACGGTTTGCTGCCTGAACGTCAGAGGGCTATGAATCAAATCCCGCCTACCGTCACCGCGCCAGCACCAGCGCACCTGGTTATCAACCAGCCCAAGACGCCGAAGACATTTCATGGAGCTGCTTTTGAAGATGCCGACGACTGGCTCGAGCATTTCAACCGGGTCGCCGTCATCAACGATTGGACACCAGAGCGTAAGCTACGCTATGTGTACTGCTTCCTGGAGGACTCCGCGAAAACGTGGTTTGAGAACCATGAAGCAACGCTTACGTCATGGGAGGAGTTTCAACGGCAGTTCCTCAAGGCATTTTCCCGAGAGGACAGGAAGGAGACAGCGGAGCGTACTATAGAGGCAAGGGTTGAAGGCCCTAACGAAAGGGTGACGACCTACGTAGAGGACATGGATCGGCTTTTCAAGCGTGCGGAGCCCTCTATGTCCGAATCCAAGAAAGTTCGCCACCTAACGTGGTGTAAAGAAGAGATTTTTGCCGGCTGATTCGAAACCCGCCTGCGACACTTGCGGAGTTCCATGAGGAAGCCACTGCCATGAAGAGGGCCCTTCAACAGCGTGCCAGACAGTATAACCGTGGTGTAAACCCAAGTGAGGTCACTTCTGTCACTCTCGGCAATGACATCAGCGCGTTGCGAGAGCTTATCAGAGCTCTCATTAAGGAAGAGCTACAAAAGATGCAGGTGACTGCTTCACCTGCAGAGCAGCTCTCCGTTGCGGAGATGGACGCGCCGAGCTACGGCAAGCCGTTCACGCTCCCCAACCATCCGAGGGCGCCACAACAGAGGCACTGCGTCGAGATGAGCTACGCGGCGGAAGCAGTGCGACGTCGTCCATCGTGCAGTTCTACCAGCGTATGTTACCCCCAATGAGCGACACGCCAACAATGGACGGTAGGCTTCCGCCCTCGCAGCTCACGTGATCGCCGAAGCAAGACCGAGAAAGAGTGACATCTGGCGTACACCCGACCACAGGCCCCTTTGCTTCCACTGCGGGGAAGCCGGACAGGTCTACCGGACATGTTCCATACCGTCGTGTGGGTCTCCGTGGATTTTCGCCTAATGCCCCTCGTCCACGACTGGCGACGCGACCACAGGAAATAGAGAGTTTCATCCTCGAATCGTCGCAGTATTGAACATCGGTCACAAGAGCCTCGCTCGTCGTCGCCTGCTCGCTACAGGTCACCGAGCCCAGCCTATTCACGCGGCGCTCCAAGACGCCGTTCACCCAGTCCGCAGTCGGGAAAACGAGTTCAGCGACTACGGAGGTGAGGCCGCTGACGCTGACTCTACGGGAAGATCCTCCACTACGACGACAGCGACAACAGCAAAAAGATGTACAGACGCAGTCAAACGGGATGCGTACGAGTGTGTGACATCAAACATGTGCGGTAACTGTGGACGACGAAGAAGAATGGCGCTAATGACCCTGGAGCAGAACCTCTGTTATGAGCATGGGTCTTGCCTGCAGGCTGAAGAAGGTTTCCACCCAGGGCTGGGTCGCAGATAGTACGGCAGGGGGCCATCTTCTTACTCCGGTGGGGCGGTGCACAGCGCGAGTCAGTATTCACGGATTACGTATCTCGGAGATTTTATAATACTGCGAGTTGCTCGAGGGACCTAATCTCGGACTGGACCTTCTGCGTGATAATGGAGCCGTGATTGATCTGCAACAGTTGCAAGTGACGTTTTCTACGGCACACGCTTTAGCGCGCAACCCTCACGGCAGTTACGTCAATGCTCTGAGAATTGTTGACGATGACTGTCACGTTACCGCCGAAGAGTAGCGTGTCACCTGGTAGCCTGCGCGTTTTCGACGAATTCAACGACTATGAAGGTATTGCTGAGGCAAATATCCCGCTGCTGCTCAAACGAAACATATGCATAGCCCGATGCCTTGTTCGGTTAGAGAATAAACGCTCTCGAGTTCTGCTGACCAACTTCAGCAATGAGTTTCAGCACGTTCCTAGAGGGACTACGTCGCTTTCCTCAGTGAAATAGCCGACTTTTTCGATATCAGCACAATGGATACGACTTCACCACATGCAAAAGCTTGTGCTGACCTGGGAAGCCGCATTCACGTTAATCCAGACTTGCCAGATTCACGAAAAGAGCGGCTGCTAAAGCTTGTGAGGGAATTCTCGGACTGCTTCTCCACAGCATCGAAAGTTCAGCGTACCACCGTTACAAAACACCGCATTGTTACCGAGGAGTCGGCGCGGTCTCTTCGCCAACATCCATCAATCAACATCAATCAATCGACCGGGACGGTCTCTCTTGAAAGGGGGGAATTGACGCAAGGTAGGCTGGCAACTATAGTAGCCAGCATCTGAAGAGGACAACGAAGTAGATCTGTGTGCGCGTGCTCTGGGTTCGCGTTTCTGGCCCTTGGGTTGCGAAAGTAAACGCCCTATTTTGTACCTGCGTGCCTGTGTCTTTGTGACAATATTATAGAATAGGTACTGCGAGGAACCTCCACCGCTCTCCGATGGGGAGCCCCATGAGCGCGCCTGTGTTTGAGAATAGGAAGTGTAACAACTTATTTCAGTCAACATACGAAAGAATGAGGCGGTTAAAATTAAGCTTGTTTTACAGTTCGTTAAAAGACAATGGCACGATCCCCAACAAAAGCTTTCAGGCGTAAAAAAAGTGACATCTAATATAAATAGAACCACACATAAACTTGTAGCGTTACTCAGAACAGAATAAATATGAATAAATGGCCATTTCCTGGGCATTACAGATCCCTTTTTGTGTACGAATGGGCGTCAAGAAACCAATAAACACATGAGCTCAATTCTACAGAAGTCACTTGAGGCAGACAGCATAAAGAGGATACCAGCAGTTTTGTCGACGGCTAAAGTCAAGAGTGTAGTACTTCCCTTAGAGTGGACCAGCCTTTCCAGATGTAGAATGATTATGTCCATTTTCAGATCTTCAACTACATCAATTGATTGATTGATTGATTGATTGATTGATTGATTGATTGATTGATTGATTGATTGATTGATTGATTGATTGATTGATTGATTGAAACGAACGTTTTCTGGTCCTGCTGTACGTACCCTGCAGCAAACCAGATGCCCCCGCATCAACCACCAGGCCAAGCCTCCTTGGCTTTGTAATTTTTAAATTAAGATGTCTTTCACACCCGTTCGCTTCTTCATCCACTCTGCTTTCCTCTTGTAACACTTATTTTCGTTTCCTTGACTCGCTGATTGGACCTCAATTAAAATCGAACCCTTTTCCTAAGTTGCCAGGTTTCTGCTCCATAGATGGGGGCCGCTAAAATGAAACTGCTGTACACCTGTCTCTATAGAAATAGAAATATTTCCAAACCATGAATTACCATTCATGGTTTGAAAATGACTGCAAAATGCACTCCACCCCGGTCAAATTACAGCTTCTCCCATCTCATGTTTCAGCCACTACATGTCCAAAATAGACGCATTCGCTTACCAATTCAGTGTGTCATTACCTATTGCACTGACTCCTTTGCTATCCCCTGAGTAAGAATACGTCGTCATTGCTATGATTTTCTACTACTGCCGATACATTGTGTTCTCTACATGCTGTCAATCCATACCGCTGTTCTCTGTGTCATGTGAGTGTTGACGCGAAGCTGCGAAGCAAAGAAATGTGAATAAATGTTGCGCACATTACGTTCGTGATTCGCTTAATGCGAAATCCCGCACAGCTCCAGGACTGCCCGTTACACTGCATACAAACTGCGTTTAACGAGAAAGGTTTCAGATTGGGCTAGTTTGTAATCTATCTTCGACACGTAGCGAAGTAGCAGACAGCGGACAAAGAAGGGAAGAAGTAGTCTGTTGAGTTCCATCAGGACGCCGCTTCGGGACTCACTAGATACGTCACAATTTCTATCACTCGATACAGACTCTTCCCTTCATCACAGTCACTAGTGTATTTTACAGTCCCTCTTACGCTGCAATATTACATTTACATGTTGAATGTATCCCTACAAGACTTTCAGCTACGTGGTTTGTTCTGTTAGCATGGTAACATCATGAGGTGGTGAGTGGCTCACAGAAGTCATGCGCAGTAAGTGAGCAGTGTTAGATGGGTGTCCACATAAAAGCTGTGGACGCCCAACTATCTGCCACCCCTTTCAATGGCAGCCTGCGTCAGTAGATCTATCGAGGACCTCTAACATGAACTGTCTCGAGGCGATAGGTGGTCAAAAAAATATGGAGCTCACTCGATATCACCTATTAAATCTATTTCGCTTTTAGAATTCACTCGAATACTGGCACTCACGAAAACCTTCTAGAAAGTGACCAATTCGAGCTCAAACTCACGAAATATTACTCGCCGGGACTCGCTCAGACTCGCGGCTTGACCCAATTGAGTTGATTCATGAGCCGGTTAGCTTCGAACTTGCGTTTTCGATGATAGTGTCAATGCTTTTTAGTGCAACTCTCTTCTGTAGTCAGTGTTCGTCTTGGCGCCTTTCGATATATTGCGTTGGAGTACGAGTTGTGAGTGGTTCAAAAGCAGTCAGGGTTTTTTTATTGAACGGGATGACAGCATAGGATCATTATCAAGAACTACCCTGTAAACCTTGGAGCTCTCTCCAAGGTTTACAGTGGGGTTCAAGGCACCCCCCAACATGATTTGCGCCTCTGAATAATAACTATTTAAATGGGTTCAGAACAATATTTCCTTAAGTGATGATGACACGACATTTTTATTTATAAAAAAGGGGAAAAAGGAGGGTAGAATGTCAAGGCTGGTTTCCCCATTCCAGGACACCAGTGGCCGCTGCAGCTTGACCAGCTTGATCCAGGAGACCCCTTTGGGTCTTCAGGTCAGGTCGGGTGAGAATGTGATTAGACGGGAGTAGAAGCGTGAATCTACGTAATACTCATAGTAAAGATCAGTAGGTAGGATCATAGGCCGGCAAAAAAAATTGAAACTCACTGAGACTCCTGTTGTGTTTACGGTTTTCAGTTTCGGTTTCGGATTGACATGTGGGGATGCCAGGGGGCGCCGCTCTGGCACCTAGGAAAGGGTGCCTTGATGCCCGCGCGCTCCGCTGAGGGTGAGGACAGCCGCGTCGTCTGCTACGACCACCGCCATTGCGCCTCCCCACCACAACTTGACCGTATGCGAAGCCCGCTACGCAACGCTCGTGTGGTGCCCTGATATGCCCGGAAACATGTGCAAGCTAGCGAGCTTTTCTTCTTATTGAAGCTTGGACATCTTTTAGAGTTACTTTTGCCTGAATGCATGCAGAAGGCGCATATTTCATGTAAGCTGACGGCTTGCGCATGATTTATGCGCTAGAGGCAGACGCTGACTCTTTCATGTTGAAAACAAATCCCTACGCCGGTTACCACAGAGGGGATTCTAAATCTATATCTGTGGTGTCGTTTATATGCTTTATTTGTTAGTGTTAATTATTATCTGAGGCTTTTACGTTCTTAAATGACGCCTGATTGCTGGACTGCAGCAATTTTGACAATCAGTTTTTTTTTTTGCCTGCACTGACACAGTACATGGGTGTCCTCTGGTGTTTTTCGTTATTCAAAATGAGACCGCCGTGGCCTAGATCGAAAGCGTGAGCCTCGCGTCAGCAACCGAGCACCGTGCCCACGGTACCACTGAGGCGGACGCCTTTCTTATTGCCTTAACTATTTCTCCACGATCTTCTCATCGCACAACTTGACTTGTTTTTTTTTGTTTTTTGCGACATAGCGTGTTCATTCTACACAGCGGTGCCCCGTCTTGTCTTTATGCATCTTCTTTGTATGGACGCTTCGCGAGTAGTTTGCATAAGCACTTGCATATGATCCCCGATAGCTCACAGTATAAATAAATAAATTATTTACTTAAATAATAATGCGTGCTGAAAGAGTTTAAATACTGACGGTGTGTGTGTGTGTGCGTGTGTACACGCCTGCCGTTTCCCCTATTATCATCCAGTGTAGAAATAATTTATTTTTGCGCATTAATGCAGCGCTGCCAGAAGCAATTCAAATTATACGCTCCATGGCAGAATTCACTGAGTACTGTCACTAGTTGCTTCGCAGTGGTCGTAACTGATTAAAAAAACAACATCAATTGCGTAATGATTCGAGACAGGACGAAAAGAAAACTTGAAGTACAGGAACAATGAAAACATTTGAACTGCACACATTCTTACAATGGTCATCACACCAGCATAGAAGGCGTACCTAAACCGAGGAAAACATCGTAGAAAGAAAGAACCTGTGTGGCTTTGTAATGGTTTGGACGCTCGAACGGTCGGTAATCGAATTCCGGCCGCAGTGGCCCCACTTCGATGGAGATGAAATGCCGGAGTTCTTAAACTTAGGTGCAAGTTACATAAAAACACCTGTTCAAAATTTCCGAAATCCTCCAATGTATACCGCGTCTCTCGTGATCATATGGTGATTCCGGAACGTACACACACTCTTTAAACTTCAGTTGGTACGACATCGCCGCTGCGCAAAGCTTTATTCTCACAAATGAATATTACGAAAAAAAAACAAGGATATCATCTGCAAAGAAACACGTGTAATGTATATTTAATAAAAAAGTTCTCATCGCACATAGTGAAACCAAGAATGAAGGGCAGATACAGTACCAACCAAGAGCAGCAAGCAATGTTTACGAAGTGAAATACGCGATTCATGCACACAAAAATCAAGCATACAGCCGTCAGCGTGTCTGTTGCTTACACGAAATTGGTCCCGGTACAAATTATGCATGCGGAATACCGGCTGGAAACTTACGCTGTGAATGGCTGATCTGTTTGTCGGATGCCACTTGTTATGTTTGATTTTCATTGTTGAAAAGGCCTTCATTTCGGGTCTCTTAGGAAACGATACAGCTTCCAGAGTTTTTGCAATGATTAGTGCCCAGCGGCACGCAATACCCGCTACGGTGACGGTAGCGAGCGCATTAAACCGGAGAAAAGCGAGCGCCAGCACAATTATTCGGGCGCAGCGAACACGCAGAAGTGACTGAGTGGAGTCAAAATGGCGGCCATGCCGCCGCTAAGGCCGAGGAGACGGTACCTGCCCTTACAAAGGCTGACACCACTCTAAGCGGGGGCGCGTGCATCGAGGCACTCTAACCTAGGATTTCAAGGCGCCTGTAAAATAAAGGCAGTATATATATCTTCCACTTTGCACTCATTCAGACTGAGACTCACCAAAAGTTTCCCGAGCCGGACTCACTCGGACTCTAACTGGCCAAATTATGACTCACCCGGAATCACTCAAACTCGAAATCACGGCTTGATCTGAGTCCGAGTGAGGTCACTGACCTATATGCTGGTGACGTATTTATCCTACGCAAAACCAGCATTTCTAGAATGCCCTACTGCCATGGTGACCTTTCGTGCATCGCTAACTAGCAATGGCGTTGATGCCGGTGCACGTCTTGTTTTTTTTTTGTTTTTTTGTCTCGATTTAGTGACTTACCTAGATCACTCCGACTCAGACTCGTGGCTCTATCTGAATTTCAATCAGTTTGCCAACCTATATGCTGCTGACGTATTCAGGGTGTTCCACGTAATTTTAGCCAGAGTTTGAAAATATGGCGGAACAAGTAATTACGACGCGACCAAATGCATGTTGCTCACCGTTGCCTGGAGTTAGACTATTTTTTATGTTCTCAAATACTGTTTAATTATATATGTTTAATGACTAACTTTTCAAGAAACGAAAATCAATAAAAATTCAATCAGAAAGTTGTAGATCGGTTTGCAAAACATCCCATTAGACAGTTTTGAACGTTATATCTGCTAAGTATTAGTGTTTTTCTGCTAATTACAAAAGCCCGCGAAATACAATAAAATACGACGTGAAAAACCCACTCGCGCGTCAGTGCGCACGATGATTCTAGTGCTCTATAACGTAAGTCGGTTGATATGTCCCGTACGGGACATATCAATCGACTCAGTCTTTCCATATATGTAAAATGCAATATGTGTTCATTGAGGTCACTGCTAATTGTGATTCATATCAAAAACATTGCACTTACATGAAAGTAAGTTCCTAGAGCGCAACGATTTGTTTCTGGTTACTCGACAATGGCTGGTAAATTTTACGGAAATTTTAGCAGACTGACCTTACATTATTGAAACATAAGCACAATATTGTAAGTGCAGGCCAATACAAGCAGTCCTTAAGAGGGAGGAAATCTTTATGAATAGTTAAAGTTAGTGAGAAATGTGCAGAAACACTAAACTTGATGTACAAAAAAAGAGTTCAAATATTCTTATGATACTTACAATGGCATATAACCCTGTGAAGGCATTGAGATGTTGTACTATTCATGATTTAATTGAGATCTGCAGTCGCATAACATGCGATGTTTTAACCTGACTAGCTTCTGATCAAAACAAGTTGCGTTCACATTGAACTTTTGGAAATGCACGTTTTCACACTCAATGGAAGCCTGCAGTGAAATATGAGAGCGGCGATTTACTCCAACTAAGCTTTTTGTGACTGAATGAGCTCTATTTGCATCAATGCGATGAACTCGGTAAATTGCTTTTAAGCCATAAATATTTTTCAATGATCTGCAGATCTCCTGAATGCAGCAAGTTGTGATTTTTGTGAGTACCTGGTTATCTGATACACAAGTATGTCTATTACGCTTACCCAATGTGAATACTCCTTCTCCCATCACTGCATTTTCTATTAGTCTGGCATTTTAATTTGCCATGCTCATGTCTAATATAACAAAAACGTGGTGTCTGCCTAATATGTAACAGCCTAAAAGAAAAATGCTATCACCGTTATTCGATGTGTGGTTATTTTCAGTAACTTACGGCATCCTGTCTTGATTATGCATATAATCAAGACAGGATGCGAATTCTTCAAAAGAAAAATATCGACCTCGAAAACAGAAGCCGTAGAATGAACCTTGTGTTTTACGGGATAGACGATAATGACCAGCATGAAACTTGGGAACAGTCTGAGGCCCTCGTTAAGGGCATCTGCACTGCCCAACTCGGATACGAACTGACATCAGTTCAAAGGGCACATCGCGTAGGTCGTTTTAATGAACGGAAAAAAAGGCCAATTATTGTGAACTTTTCATCTGATAAGGAAAAAGAGGTCGTCCTTAAAAAAGCCAAGAATTTGAAAGGTACACAGTACAGCATTGAGCAGGACTATTCATTCGAAACGCGCACTGTACGAAAGAAGCTTTGGGAATATGGTAAAGCGAAAAGGGCGGATAAGAAAAACCTGGTTAAGCTAAAAGCCGATAAACTGATTATAAACGGCAGAGCATTTACTTGGGATGATGAAAAGGAAGAAGTCGTTGCCTTGTCTAAACGATGACAGGAAAATTGTACCATCTGCGTTCATCGTGATTTAATTATTGCAGTAGTGAATTGCCGAAGTGTAATAAACAAAATAGACGAATTCGCTGGCTTGCTTGATACCGTGAAGGCCGATGTCGTGTTCGGTACAGAATCTTGGCTCAACCCATCCATCTCTGATCATGAAGTGTTTCCTAACAATTATACTGCCTACCGTAAAGATAGGCCGAATCATGGGGGTGGTGTTTTCTTGTTAGTTCACTCGTCCCTTTCATCCGCTAATCTTGATATCGGTAATGACGCTGTCGAATCTGTCTGGAGTACTGTTACAGTCAGTAACAATTTTTCTTTTGTAGCTGGGACGTTTTATCGACCGCCCGCCGCGAACTCCAGTATTTTGCAATTATTAGGTGACATCGTTTCACAGGCGTCTGACCGTACGATATTATTAGCAGGTGATTTTAATTTACCCGATCTAAAATGGCGAAGTCACTCATGCGAGGTGCTGCATGCCAGCCGTAATAACCTAGAAATGAAGAACATTGTTGACACTTTTGGGTTGATACAGTACGTTTTAGAACCCGTGCACAAGACTTAAGCATACCCTTGATCTTCTCTTTTGTAACTCCCCTAATTTAGTAAGTAACGTTGATATCTTTCCAGGCATTAGTGACCATCAGGTTGTAGTAGCAGG